TTTTTTTTTTTTTTTTTACACAAAAACGCATACATACCTTTTTTGTGTGGTTTTGTTGTCTGTTTGTAGGGCATATATTATAACACTAGCACCTGTCAACAAAATGAGAAATCCAGGAACAACTTAATAAACAGCAGACAATTAGCTTTACTACATGGACCTGGCTTTCATGACCACTGTAGCGAGACCATTGTGGAAACTCCTAGATCAACAAATCCCAATTCCATTAATACATATGTACGTAATGAAGGAGGACACGATTGGCCATTTGATCGAACCAGGTTAAATAGAATACACCACCACACAGTACCATATTCCCTTATGCTTCATGTACAACTACATATATACCTGCGATTACCAATTACATTAATAATCTACCATTTTCCCCCTTCTATATTCCTCCCTGCAGGACTCGTATTACTCACCATTCACATCATCATCATACACCCATTGTTTCACCAGTGCACCCGGCAGTACCGGTTGTACCGACGGTACCGGCCGTGCCGACAGTGCCGGTTGTACCGACAGTACCAGGAGTACCGGTAGTACCGACAGTGCCAACAGTAGGGACAGTAGTTGATACTGCTATTCACGGTGCCCTTGGGCATGCTCCTTGTGCTTATTCACCATTAAGCTGGTATATGGGATTCAGGACACGATGTATAACCCCAATGATGTCGATGTTTTGGGGGTTACCAATGTATGGCAGAGGATTAGTATCATTTCTTTTACTCGCTATACCAATACTTCTTGTTTGGCTTTTTTTCACATTAATGGGGTAGTCAGTCTAGGGGCTGTATTCCTTAGTTAGTTTCTGTACAATGGAAGACAGACAATACAAAAAAGTGTACATTGTATCTATCAAAATGAAAAGTATGATTAATCAATACAATGGGCATTATACATAGCTAAAATTAGTAAAGCTGAATATCATAATATTATGAAAAAAGCGAAAGACACTTAAATGAAAACATGTATGAATATAACTTATAGTTAATTACTCATTTATAGAATATTAAAAAATGATACAATCTGTATGACCTATTCTAACTATCCTATACGATTACTTACACTTTTCAATGTATTAATACAGATTTTGTGCTAGTATATAAATATGTTCGAGTAATTTTTCTTCTGAGATGTTTTTAAATTTTGTTTTCCTAGCAATTATCCAGTTTTAAATACATAAAAATAAAGTCACATCAAACGTTACATATATTTTAGCTTTAATCTCTATAACTATTTTTTTTATGAAAGCCATAAATTTTCATGATTTAATACATGTTTATATATATAAATTATTCATTTTTATTACATATTAATTAAATATTTATCAAAAACAAAATTTATGCGGAGAAGGGACAAGATTCAAGCGTTCAGAGTTCAGGATCTATCATCTACGATCTAAAGGTCTAGGATATGGGGCTTATGGGTTCCAGGGTCTACCATCTAAGATCTAGGATCTAGGGTTTATGGGTTCCACGGCCAAGGATGTAGGGTCTGTGATCCAGACCCTGCGATCTAGGTTGTAAGATTTAGGATCTACCGTCTAGGATGTACGACGTACATTCTAGTTTGTAGGGTCTCAGAGTTCAGGGTTTTAGGGTTTAGGCTTCAGCAATCTACGTGTTCAATGTTCAGATTAAAGGGTGCAATTTTTCATAATTTCCGCGTTTATGAGTTTTAGGAATTAGCGGCTACTTGCCTTTGTTTTTTTCTGCATGAGGCATCGTTCGTCAGTGCTACTCCTGCCTACTGTTCTTGCCATGTTCGTTGCTTCACCGCTTTAACATTCTACGCACTACTGCCACCTTGCTTTTCTTCTTCCCATTGTGCGTGTGGCGTTGTGCGTTGTGCGCCTCCTTCTTTGGCATCCCTGCTATTCTGCTGCAATGAGCCTCATGTGGTTCTCTGCCGCGTCGCCGTCATCGCGTCTTCGTAACGCACATTGTGTCCGAGTGCAAGAAGGAGGAGGATTGTCTCTCCGAGCAACGCGTCGACCAACGCGACCGAGTAAGACGGAGTTGACGAAGTAGCCAAGCGTAAGAAGGACTGATTGTCTCTCCGAGTGAAGGATCCAGAGAGCGGGGGGCGGCGGAAGGAACACACATATTTTGTGGGAAGGCGCACAAGGACCCGCAACGACGGCCACGACGGAAGACGTATTGATGTTGTTGTTATTACTGCGGTTTTTTTGTGTACTCACAGAGAGACAGTGTGTGTGACAGGCGTTTAGTGGACAAAGGGCGGTGAAAGGCGTATTCATGACGCGTGTTGTGTAGTGTACGCAGTAGTAGTGGTACTTTTTTTTCCTTTCTTTCTTTTTTCCTTTTTTTTTTTTCTTTCTCTTCTTGTTATTCTATCCTTGTATTTTTTTCTCTTTTCTCGATATAGTTATACCTTAGCGAAGCTATAACTAGTGTAGGGTAGCAGTATACTGCGTACAAGTACCTATGGTATCAGCAGTTCATGTAAACATTTATGTAGAGGTAGAGCAACAATAATTATTTAGCAGAATATGAATATATTCACGGACACGAGATTATACGCGTTACCATGGGATATATGTAGCATAATAGTATTTCCAACGCACTGGACCGAGTATAGTATACTAATAGAATAACACTAATATGTCCGCAGCGAACTTAGGCCACGTATTGGCCCAATGGGTCATCGACGCGGGCATTTCCACACAGGAGGACTATGAGGTAGGCACATACAGGACCAGAAGTGCACAACGGGCAGTTCCGTGCTAGGGTTTTATTGGTATAAGACACAATGCAGCGCATCGGGGCACATAGCATTCAAGCACACATGCGCATGTATATGTTTCCTGTGTTGCTCTTACATTGTAGGCAATGGTGTGGAACAAGACTAAAGAGGTCATGCAGGAGTTTGTGCACTACATGGAGCGCGAGGATATAATACTGTATGCAACGGCCTGTGGTAACGCAGCATGGAAGCACCATAAATACCTCAAAGACCCTCCGATGTATGGACAAAAGGTGGGGGACATCATTGTATGCGTACTTATGGTAGGGGCATTATATTTCATGAATGGGTGGACTATTGCACAAATGCCTCGAACGCCGGCAGATGACAACAGTGAACGCATAAGGGACCACTTACGATGTATAATAGTACATATGTTCAGCGAAGTATTAAACGCAACCGTGTGTAAAAGTGAATGGGGAACATTTTATGCATGGCACATAATGGCAGAGACAGCGGGGATAGGGGGTGTTTCGAGCGCCTTGATACAGAATAGGACGTGTGCTAAAGAGACATTTGCGCATTTGAAAATAAAAGAACTTGACTTAAATAAACAAGTCGCAGCATGGTTAACACAGAATCCAACACTCAAGAGCGCAATTAAAAAAGTCCAGGGAACTGAAGCTTGCGGAAGACAGCGCAAGAGGGGCTGGACGCTAGACAATTTCCTGAGGCATGAGAATACAGAGGATACGTAACGGTCGCAGATTGTTGAGATAGTCGGCGAGTTGAAGTCAGGACTGGGGGAGGTATTTAAAGAAATTAAGCAACAGGTAGAGAAAGACATAGAACACAGGGAACAGGCGAAGAAGCAGAACTTAGGTAAGGCATGGCATGTTCCGGTCGAATGAGACAGCTTCGAACGCAACAGGACGGATAAGTACAGAGCTGACAACTACAGACAGTTTCGAGGTACAAGGGAAAGAGCCAAGGTGAACAACATGCAGATATGTGAACAAAATTCCTTTCGCTATCCTTTCAACAATACAAAAAGTACATACGCACATTTCTAATTCCCATTTTTGCCCTTTATTGCAGCGAACGATGGCAACAGAGGGGAGGACGTCACAAAAGCGGCGACCAAGCCTAAACAACAGGAAACGACAGGTAAGGACCGATGGGGAGAAACCACGAATATGTCTGGCACGAATACGAACACACGGTGGAACAGTAGTACCTCTTCGCTGCCCTCAGCGGTAGCGGCGACCAGTGTAGCAGAGGTGTGTGTGTGCGGCGGGCACGACGGGAGCTACGAACGTACCGTGTAGCTGTAGCGACGATGAGTGTAGAGAGGTGTGTGCGTAGGGGGTAGCGTACACCAGTGTGGAGCGTAGAGTATACAGTGGAGTGCAAGGAATTTATGGATATAAGGGAATCATATGTGGATGAACTATTGGAGAAGCTTTAGAGAAGGATTAGACACAACCCAGAACAAAGGGATGGGTTACATTCGTCGTGCCCGTGACAAGTGGTACCATAGTAGATGCTATTGTAACGGGATATACAGCACTATAGGACTTCATATTATATGCTACATAACGTATGTTGTTATTGTCGTGTACATATTTATAGTGCCAAAAAGGGGGGATATGAATTCAGCACTAGCATTGTGGGAGTCTTAAGAAAAAAAAAAAGAAGGATGTTACATTTTATAAAAATACTTGCCACATGCTGTATTCATGGTAATCATAAAGTAGTGTTTGTTACATGCATTATATAAAATAATTATTCCTTATATATATAGATGTAGAATACGAGAAGACTCTTCTTCTTTTTTTGTTCTTAACAATGGGTTCCTCATCCATAATATCAATAAATACTTGATCATATGAACAACAATGCAATATATACACAAACCATGTATATTGATAAGAGCGCAAACAACATTATAATGTACAAAGCGGAATTATAGGATATATGCTATAAAGGAAAAATACACCACATCATAGAGGCGAACATGCAACATCATAAAACAATGTCAATCTAATAGCTATGCAAAAAATATGTTGTTGTCACTATGCAGTAAAACACGGACTAATTAGTCTTTTTTCGATTCCTTATTTGTTTTTCCTTCGTTGTTTTTCGTTTCTGCGGGAGCTTCCTCCTTCTCCTTCTTCTTCCACATTTTATCCAATAAACATTTCGCTGTTTTGGAGCGGCAGAAACATAGTAGCACACACAAATAGATAATTACAAATAGTATGAAAGGTGCAAGCCCAGGAAGGAAACTAAGAGCTGTTGGATTTAACATAAAGATCCCCTTTAACGCGGCATCAAGCGTGGTTTGTCCTAAGGAGGAAATAAGGAATGGATACAGGACTGAGAGTACTACTATAAGCTTTATCCATGCTCTTCTCCCCATTTTACAACTTTTCAATTTCTGACAAAGTTCCTTCAGTTTGTTCTGCGCTGTTCCAGCCTGAGGCTTCCTCTTCACAGGTCCTGGATTCTTGACGTGCACCTTGAGTTTTAACTTGTTACATATGTTATGGAACAACGTTTTCTTCACGGGACTACCCGTCGCACGACCGTCGTAAAAGTTACGTTGACCGCGTGTCGCCACATCCGTGCCATCACTCAACGATATGGTTGCAATTTTATCCGTAGCGTCATATGGGCTTGTTCCATTACCCGAGGATGTGCCTATTGTACTCGCCTAACATGTAAACAAAAAGAGCGGAATACATGGGTTTGTTGTGGTCTATACAAGGATGTATAGCGTGAAAAAAAATTACAGGCAGGTTTATAGTTGTGTTGAAGGCATTAAGATATTATTGCAATAAATGTGGTCACTCCCCAAAATATAATGGTTCTTATCATACACAGTCAGCAATTTGCCATAAGCACAGGACTAGCATAAATATTGAGAGTTTCACAGGTAACATCATTCTGTTTCTTCCTTTCGCTTTAGAAAATGCTAGAAATGGCGATATATTTTTTATATGTATGAATTATAGAATTTTTTTCTCTTCCACATGTAGGTGTATAGATTAAGCGCGTAACACTTCTTTTCAGCGGCCAATGGTGAACATTGATAGAATTAATTTGGTACTTGATTTACTATTCTTACCTAAATATTTAAATATAATTTGAATAAATAATTCACGTGCAACCTAATATATGCGAAGAAGGAAGTACGGAACACAACGGAAGAACCCATGTTTGGCACATGCTGTACGACGTAAAAGTTGACTAAAGGGGTCAACATTTTTCACAAATTCAGCACGCGCTCATCCATGATGTCGCTGTGTTAACGGTGTAATGGGAGCAAAGAGCATATTCACGGGAGCAACATTCTACATGTGACGTAACACTTTACTGTTTTTAAGTTAGATATAAGGGTGAGCAAGATAGTAACCACAGAATCAAGTATGCCCCTTTTACATACAAGAACGGCGACAAAAATTTTTTTTGCGATGTATAGCCGTGGGCTCAGAGTTACATTGTTTCAGTGTTTAGGGGGGTCATTATTCTGATGTATATACGGGGAAGATTATATATGTATCTTCATTGGAATTCATGCAATCGTCGTTTAGGTTGTTCCCATTTTGTTATATATGGTCACGAATAATGAACGTGAAAATATAGTTTACAAACTTATATACGTATACCGCCTTTTTTTCTTTGACAAAGCGTGAATAGATTTAATGAACAGTGTAAGGAGCATATATATATAAAGGATAAGTATAGCGAACTTGTGGGCTTGGGGCTTGGGGCTTGGGACTTGGGCCGTGGGGCTTAGGGTTTACAGTTTGCGGATTGTAAGGTTTCCGGAGTTGTAAGGTTTCCGCGGTTGTAAGGTTTGCGGGATTGTAAGGTTTCGAGGATTGTAAGGTTTCTGGGATTGTATGTTTTGAGGATTGTAAGGTTTTACGTTTGTAAGGTTCCGGTATTGTGCAGTTTTAGAAATATGAAGTTGCGGAATACCGATTTAGGATTCGGGTTTTTGAGGCTTACTGTTTGAGGATTTTAAGGTTCAGGAATGCGTATTGAGCATTCCTGGTTGCGGACTCAACAATAAAGGCTTAAGGTTCGCAGTTTACCAACTTTAGGAGGCTTAACATTTTAGGGCTTTTTTTTTTTTTTTTT